TAATTATATTTACATGTGCTGTCTACAGAGCCATCCATTTGGAATTGATAACTTCTCAATCAACACAAAGTTTTTTGCTTGGTTTACGACGATTTATAGCCAGACGAGGAAGACCGAAAGTTATTTATAGCGATAATGGCACCAATTTTACAGGAGCTAACAACCTATTTAAATCGTTAGATTGGAAAATGATCGAAATTGAAGCATCTGTGAATAGGATTCAATGGAACTTTAATCCTCCTGCTTCCCCATGGTGGGGAGGATTTTGGGAAAGAATGGTGCAGATGGTTAAAAAACTTCTTCGTAGGGTTTTAGGTCAATCAGCTTTAAATTATGAAGAAATGACGAGCGTCCTTTGTGATTGTGAGACAACAATAAATTCTAGACCTCTCACTTATGTCTCAGAACAAGGGGATGAACTCATTCCATTGACGCCAGCTATGTTCTTGAAAGAAATAGATGATGTCGGAGTGCCAGATTTAGATCAACTTGATCAAGTAAATTTGAATAAAAGATTAAGGTACCAGCAAAATTTGCGCAATGCTTTAAGAGAAAGATTTAGAAGTGAGTACCTTGGGCAATTATTACAACGACCATCAAAGAGTAAACCGATTGAACCTTTGAAAGTAGGAGATATTGTTTTAATCGAAACTGACGGTAAAAAAAGAACTTTATGGCCAATGGCTAAAATAATAGATGTTTTTCCTGGTAAAGATGGGCAAGTACGAGTGGTTCGCCTTAAAACTTCATCCTGTGAACTCGTCAGGCCTGCGCAGAAGATTTTCCCACTCGAAATTTCCTCACCCACTGAACCTAATCTAATGAATAATGAAGCATGCAAGAATAAACCAGAGAAGGACTTGCAGGTAGTTGGAAAAACAGTAAGAACGAGAAGTGGAAGACTTATTAAAGTGCCAATTAAATTTTTGAGCTGAAAAACTTGGACTTTCGGAACAGTATTTTTAACATTATAATTTTCATTCATTTTACTCATAGAAATATAATTAGTTTTGATTAGTAAAGAAAATCTCCAATCAAAACGGTGGGAGGATTGTTACGTTTTGAAATAAGAATTGGATAGGTTTTGTATAATGGAGAGTTGGGTGAAAGCGTTTTTATTTGTCTCCAAATAACTTTTGACTTATACAATGGAACTCGAGTTTATGTTTTAGAAATATGTTGAAATTTTGTATTTTCTTTTAAGAATTTTTGTTTAATAAAACTTAGGAGTGAAAGAAATGTGTTACAATTCTTACCGTACTCAACACATAGCAACTGAAAATTCACTTCAGACAGTAAAAAGTGCTTATAACTCCTAAAGACTGGAAAATACGGCAACTATATTTAATACCTGGCAAATTTAAGAAAAATAAAAAAATTACCTTTGATAATTTTTGAACTGGCTATAGTTATTGAAAGTCTTCTTCTAACTACAAAATAGTTTTATTTATTACTTTGACTGCAGCATTTGGGAGATAAGTCCCATGTAATTTTATTTAAAATTACACTTGTTTTTATTTAAAAAATTAAAATTTCAAAAACTCTACTTTTTCGAATGTTATATCACAAGGTCTGTAATTTTTACTCTTCTAAAATCATTCGTAAAGCGAGTAACGAAACTCGAATTCTGATTATTTTAGTTTTTTTTCTTCGTGAAGGTGGCTTTCGACGTGTCTCAATTATAATAATTTTATTCAATTAATAAACCAAATAAATATTTTATCTAATAACATGAAAACTTTTTATAATTGTGTTTTTTGGTAGACTAAAAGGAAGAAAATAATTTTATTTCTGTCTGGTCTAAAATGAAAAACGTAGCATCATTTTTAGGCCAACCATAATGATACCCACTGTATCATTTAATCCTTTATTATAAAATTTTATTTTTTAGATATAACGAAGTAGAATATAATATATCATAGTTCATTTCCCCCCTTCTTTAATAGACCATTCTAACTGTCTGCGTTTTTTTTTTTTTTTGCATGGTTGAAGAAAACCACGTTGGAAATGGTTCACTTGCAAAAAATCTCGCCTTCAAGGTTTCCACAAACGAAAAACAGCATTTTTGTCCGGAAACTCAACTGAAGGGCAATACGAACAGAGGTCCAACCTCTGTAACAATGAAAAATTTCGGCACTATACTCAAAAAATGACGTTGTTGTTGTTAATTTACGTTGCACTAGAGCTGCACAAAGGGCTATTGGCGACGGTCTGGGAAACATCCCGGAGGATGATCCGAAGACATGCCACCACAATTTTGATCCTCTGTGAAGGGGATGGCCCCCCAGCTTCGGCAGCCCGATGACCTGCGCGCGAAGTCGAGCACTTTGAGGTAGCACAGTTTAACGAGGAACAATACCGCACACCCTCTGTCCCTACGCAGACTGATCCAAGTGGTCACCCACCCGCATACTGACCGCAGCCAATGATGCTTGACTTCGGTGATCTGCTGGGAACCGTGTCTTAACGATCAGTCCACTGCGGGGACTCAAAAAAAAAAAAGAAAGAAAAAAAGACTTAGAGTTATGTTATCAGTCGCTAAACGTCTAGGAGACTTAAGTATTATTTCCCTAAAGGCCATTTCTTCATACCAGTTTCTCTTTCTCGTGCGCGGGAATCTTTAGAAATTGCATCTAGGTGGAAGTGCTCCTGGATTCGCAAATAGCAAGTAGTGAGTATGAACCTTATGTGCTGGAATGGCATGTAAGCCTCTGTCATTGATGTTTATAAGCTGCTGTGTTAACAAGGAAATTCTCACGCATATGCGAATTACAAACAGTGAGAATGCTCCATAAGCTTCTGACCCTATAACAAATGGATGAAAAACTTTATTGTTATCGTTATCGATTAATCGTTATCGATCAGCGAGTTTCAAATCGAAACTTGTTTTTGACAGAGCGGGACATCCAATTTAAAATAAAAACTTCGAGTTCGTCAGCGAAAAACTTAAACCCTCTTAATCGCCACCATCAAATTGAATTGCCTCGTGCTTACGTCTATGACATTCTTTAGTTAGAGAGGTTGTTTGAAGTCAGTTTGTTTCGAAACAGATCTTCTAGTCAAATCTTTGATTTGGAATTGCTGACTACTTTCTCTCTATTAGTGTAATTGTTTAATGAAATTATTTATTTTATGAGTTTGCTGTAATTGATAGAATTGAAAGAACTTTACTTAATTAGTTATACAGAGCGGAAGCGTTTCATAAAAGTAAAAAATGGTTTTGAGCCGAATATAAAACCTAATTTAGTCGTCAGGTTTAATAAGTTTTGTTTAATTATTAGCGCTGAATTTCAAGCTATTTTATGTATCATTTTGTAAGTAATTAGAAAAAAAAACCCTACTAAAGGAGAAAATAAATTTACGGAATTTATCATGAAATTAAAATATGCCTAGTTTTCTGTGTGTGGGTATATTATGTATAGTATTACTTCCTGGTTATAAATATGTATATTTTTGGGTAACACTTTCTGAAACAAAAAATGGGGTTCAGAGATTATACATTAGAAATCTCAAGAAAGAAGCCACCTGATGCGATCAATCGATTACCAGGCGTTACTTAAGAAAACTCCATGAACTTAACTGTTTGATTTTAACCCAATTTTCAGATCAGAATATTATATAAAGCTTTAATGTTGTTTATCTATTCATTAAGATTTGTTTTAAATTGTATGTAATTTGTTAATGAAGACTGTCATAAGAAAAGAAAATTCTTAGGTTTCTTAAGGTGCATAGTTTTTTTAAAAAGTGCTTTAAGGTGCTTATTTTTAATTTTCGTTATTTAAAATCCATTAAAGGTGCTTTTTTCTTTGAGTGTTTTTAAAAAGTGCTTAATTTTCCCTTTTAAAAAAGTGAGATTTTTTTTCCTTACCATGTTGATTTTCGTCACGTATTATGCAAAAGCATGCTTTTCACATTGTTCTATTCCACGTTTTCACAATTTATTTTGGCGTACCGTCCGTCCATAGCGTATGAAAGCGCCAATCATTTTACATGTTTGATGTAATACTTACGAGTCTGTATGTGCGTCTACTGAGCTGGTTTCGGTGAGATTATTGCCTTCTCATGTATAACTCTGCTGCATTTTGCAATATGTTCTTGATTTCAGACTTCATTTTCCACCCCCGATATCAAACCGAAAAATCTCTCGATCATTTTATAATGGCTAATATAATCAAGAAAAGAGTTCTTTGTCAGAAACTAGTTATTTTATCATATCATTTGAAGTCTGAAAATTATTTTGCATTTTATAAGTGTATATTGTGCTTAAAATTATTTTTTGAGTGCTTGAAAAGTACTTAAAAAAGCTTATTTTTTGTTGAAAGATTTTGCTTTGCCCCCTGTTTATTTCAAAAATTTATTATTTGTTTGATTATGCAAACTTTAAATTTGTTTTAAAATATTAATTGGTGCATAGCTATATTATATAAGAGATGTTTTGGGGCTAATTTTAAAGATGTCTCTAAAACCAAACTATATAATTTTTTAAAGTGCTTAAAAATTTTTTTTGAGTGCTTAAAAGGTGCTTATTTTTTGTTGAATAATTTGGCTATGCACACTGATTAGAATTTATACTTGCCGTCTCTTTCATTTGTAAATATATTTTCTGGTAGGATAAATAAATGTGATTAGAGACAAAAGTAAACTTATACGTAATTATTCATTTAAATTATGCTGCATGGTTGGATCCTCGCTGGCCGAAGCAAATGGTGACTGATGCGCTTTAAATCTGTTGAGTCGCGAAATCCTCCATGTTCCCATAACAAATCAAACCCTCTGGGGGTACTGATCCAGGAGTTCCCTTGTCTTCTGGATTGTGTTAAAAATGACAAGGCTACGGAGTTGAATATAAGTAGTCTTAAACCCCGAATTTGGTCTGCTGTTCAACGATAGACATAAAGTATAAAAAATAAAATTATGCTGCATATAATTTATTTAGAATTTCATGTTGTGAAAATATCAATGATTTAAATTTGTAAAGACATAATTGTTTTGAAATGGATCATTGATGATTTTACTCAAGAAATTTTCAGGATTTTTGAGTTGGGCTCACACCCCTGAAAAAGGCAACAAAAAAAAAAAGAAAAGAATTTTAAGGAATTTTTAGAAATTAAAATAAGCATAGTTTTCTCTGCTGGGTTATATTATGCATAATATTACTTCTTGGTACTAAATATATTTATTTTTAGGTAAAATTTTCTGAAGCAAAATATGGTGTTCAAAGATTATGCACTAGAAATCACAAGAAAGAAGCCACCTGATGCGATGACTCGATTACCAGGTGTTACTTAAGAAAACTCCATGATTCTAACTGTAGTTCGGAATTTAGGTAGGAATGCTGAATGAGAACTGTATTAATAAATATGTTTTAAGATATGTTATGATTTAAAAATGTTCATTTCGACCCAATTTTCAGCTCAGAATATTATAAAAAGCTTTAATATTGCTTATTGTAATTTGTTGATGAAAATTCATTCATAAGTGTTTAGTTTTAAAAAATTTATTATTCATTGCTATTTAATTTTCAATCTGAAATATAGTATTTTTTAATTCTTAATTGTAACTTTAAACGCTAGCAGCATCAATTCATATATCATTTTATTTTGTTTAATTCAAATTCAGAGATGTCAGCAAAATTTTTGTTTGAGTCTGCGCAGTAGTAAGTTTCATTTTCGAACCTTTACTTTTACTTTGTTTTTCGTCACGGAGCAAATTATATACGAATTCGATGTGTTGTAGATGGTTATAATTTTCTTTTCGGGACCAGCTCCCAAGGATATTACGATGATACATTCAAAATTGTTATTTATCGATAGCTATTAGCTATATTAATTTACGAGGTGAGTCGTTTTTATGTTTTGTTGTCATTAGTTGTGCTGAACTGTCTGAAATCGTTTTCATGTTTAATTAACTAAATAATTTGCTGCTATCTTATTTTCAACTTGTTTACTGTTAAAAATTTCAATTCAAGTTTATATTTTGTGAAATCAATTAATATCCAGTATCGTTAATTGTTCAATATATTATTTGCAGAATAAAATGTTCTTAAGATTCTTAATTTGTCAGGGTTTAAATTTTACAATATATATTTGTTTTCTTTCTCTTTTTTTATTTTGGTAATTAATTTTACCTGGTCCGTCGTTTTACAATTTACAACTATACAATAAGAAAAGAAAGCTTTTAGGTTTATTTCAAAAATTTATTAGTTTTATGATTATGCAAAATTAAAATTTTTTGTCAAAATATTTAATAGTGTTAAGGAAAGCAGTTAAAATTAGCCCCAAAACAGCTCTTAGATAATATAGCAAGAGCTATATAATCTAAGAGCTGTTTTGGGGCTTATTTTGACCCCTTCCCTGATTATCCTGAGAATACCCGGGCTTAGCAGAATGTGCCAGTACATTTATTATGTTTTAATCGGTTGTAAGCAAGAAGCATAATCTGCTGTGATTGGAAGTTTGCCAAGTTTTATATGGGAGTTTTGCTGTTGGACTGCACACGTGTTTTGTATGATTGTACATACAATGGTTGCTGAATTGACATTGCAATAAGAGTAAAAAAAAATTGCGCATTCCTTCACTGATGTTTCAAAGTTATCACTTTATGTTGTCCCTTGTTTTAAAAACTATCCTACAAAGACTCATATTTACCTTTTTTCATTTGCCCTTAACAGAGTTCATTCTAGGCAGAAAAAAGGGCTTTGTGCAAAAGTTTAAAAAAAGGGCATTATTATTCTAAAAAGGCAATAATTTCTTTCTATGGGCTTTACACGTTCTATTAAAAAACATTGTCAATTTTTTTTTACTTTACTAAAAGTAGCAAAGCAATCATATTAATTGCTAATTTTTATTAATAAATGACCATATATATATCAAGTTAATGAGCTAATTAGTTTAGTAATTTATTTAAAAGGCATGCATATATTAATTAAATAATAAATGTGTTTTTTTAAGTGTCTATAGTTATAATTTAATAATTAAAATGATTAGTAATCATTATGATTTAATGATAGTGAAGTAACTGCAAACTTTCAAAGACAAGTGCAACAAGGGGGTGTGATGGCTACTTTTCCTTTCCCATATAAATCTACGTATTGACGGCAATGACAAACTAAATAAAAAGAGTTGCAAATAACTAAAGTTTAAGAAATCCATTGAAGAGTTTAGCGAAAAAATAAAGAAGGATTGAGGAAAGAAAGGGTATGGAGACTATTACATCTGGGCACTAATTTACTTCAGGGGCAACAGGGTGGATTCTTTTGACTAAAAGGGCAGCAGGGTGCTGCGCCCTGTTTACCCTGCCTAGAATGAGCTCTGCCCTAAATAACTCGGGATAGTTAACTGATTTTAAATTAAAGGTTTCTTAATCATAAGAAAAAATTAAAATTTTAACTTAGAACTTGTGTATTTTGTTTTATTTTAGTTCCTGGTATTTATTAATAAAATAAAAAAGTATGTTGAATTTTACATTTTTTAACTTCAAAATAATTGGTTAGGGTAATTGGTAAGATAATTGGTAAAATTGCTCTAAAAGCAAACTCTAAAATTAATTTTAATGAACTTAATACATTTTATATACAATAGGTAATTATTGAGTTAAAATGAAGAATAATTATTTTGTTTTATTTTCTTACAGAGTACATTTAATGAAAATATTGCTTTTGAAATAAGAATGGTCTTAAATTTTATTTTGATTATTTAAAAAAAATTACAAATGTTCATTTTTATTTTTCCATTTAATTGAAGATTTCAATAATAAGGTTTCACTGTGTCAAATAGTCAGCTTAACTAAGATTTCATTTAATAATGTATTCTGGACACAATTTCATCAAAAATATCAAGAAAAGTGAAATAGTTTTGGATTGCTTGAAATATAAATGATGATATGAAAATTAATATTTATTGCAGTTGTAGTAATATAAAATGTTTTTACCCTTTATAACAGGCATGTATTTTTATTGAATTTAATTATTTTACAGAAATTGCTTTGTTTTTCCATGAATATGAAAGTAGAAACTTGTATGTAAACTTATCTTTATTTCTAATGCTGACTTCGTCATACCTTCTGGTTATTTCCATGTTTTTTTTTTTTCTGTCCTAAGTGGATCAAGTGCTAGTTATGACACTGTTATTTTCTTCCTGTAATTTTTCCCTTAAAAAAAAAACATAAAATTTGAAAGAAATTTTTTTTGGTCTCAAAATTACTATGTAATATTAAAAACAGAAGTATTCAGCCATTTAATTAAAATTTTAAAGCATTATTAATTTACTAAAGTAACATAGAAATTTAAAAACAAATATTCCTATTGTATTATTTTTTTTTTCACTAAGCTCTCAGCGTAACTATATACCCAATTTACCCCACTTCAGAAAGCAATTGAGAATGAATAGAATTTTGAAAGTTTTTTCTTAAACTTCTGTGTTGATCTCTTCTTTAAGAACCCCTCTGCTAGTTTAAACTAAAATTACTTATATTTGCCTGTTTGTTATGATATTAGAAAAAAGTTTATTAGCAGCTTAATTTAATAACTTCTGATCAACTTGTACAACAGTAGGAGTTGATCAGAAGCAAATAATTTGTAAACATTAAACTTTTTTCAGTTTATAAAATTGAAAAAAAAAATCTTTGTTTTAACTGCTTCCTTTAAAAAAAAAGAATTGAAAAAAAAGCAAAAAATTTATATAGGGGAGAGTCGGGTAGCTCCGCCCAGCGGGTACCCCCGCCCAACGTCAATTTCATATGTATAGAATATTTTCTCAAGTCAATGTGCCATCGGACATTAATTGTTATATTAAAAAGAGATTATTTTCAAAGTTTCAAGTATTTATGCAGCTGTTAACATGGTAAACAATAGTTTTGAAAATATGTTGAATACAGTATTCATGAAGTTAAGAAAAATTGGTTGAATGTTTCGTTTAAACTTCATTTTAATACTTATAAAATAATTTTTTCTATACATACAGCATTAAAGTATGTAGTCTTAGGTTTAATTTGCACGAAGAAAGAAGTTTATTTTTGAAAAATTGTTCGAGTAATTACAAATTTACAAAAAAATTGAATTTCGGGTAGCCCCGCTCACATGAATGTCAGGTATCACCGCCCAATTTTATTTCGTTGATAAATGTACGGTTGCAAAGATTATTATTTTATTGCTTCAAATTTGAATGTTATATGCATTTTTAACAACAAATATTGTTGTTATTAAATGATTGTTATTAAATGATAGAATTCACTAAAAGTACATAAATATGTAATAAATAAAATAATTTTTTGATAAAAATGATAAATGAGGTTTATCTATTGTCAATACATTGGTCACTTTCATTTACTCCTGAAAAAACAGCCAAAAAACATAATTTTTGTAACTGGGCGGGGCTACCCGACGCATTTTGAAAAGAGCTGAAAAACATGTTTTTTTAAATTTCTATTTTTTTAAGTTAAACTATTCTTTTTTTGGTTTATTCTCTTTGCATTATTTAATTATATGGTCAAACAATATAAACATACAAAAATATTGATTATTACTCAATATTATACAGAAATATAAGCAATACTCAAGTGAGCGGGGCTATCCGACTCTCCCCTATATATTTTAATTTATTAATAAATACAAGGAACTAAAGTAAAGCATAATACACAAGTTTTAGTTGAATTTTTAAATTTTTTTATGTGTAAATATGATTTAATTTATCATCAGTTTTACTATCTCGATTTGTCTTGGGCAAATAAAAAAATTTCAATATTAGTGTTTGTAGCATAGTTTTTAAAACAAGGAACAAAACAAAGTGATACTTTCCAAACAGTAGTGAAGTTATACGTCAATTTTTTAAATGTGAATTCAGTAACCATCGTATATGCAATCGCACAAAGTGTCCCACAATCCATCAGCAACACTCCCAAACAAAATTTGGCAAATTTCCAAGCACAGCAGATTATGTTTTCTTCCAGTCCAGTAAAAACGTGATAAAACAAAATAGACTAATTTTGCCACGCCCGAGTTTTCTCAGGATAATAAATATTTGCAATGTGTACATATCCGAATTAACTCTGGATAAACAGGGAAGCGGTTAAACCCTGTATGTCTCTAAAGTAATAATGAACTAACTATCTTAATTTAAAAGGAAAAAAATAACTGTTTTTTAATATATCTGCTCTTTAGCCCACTTAATCACACCTGACCCTATTATTTCTGTCTTCTGAATTTTGTTTCACTATCCAAAATGGTTTGAGCTTACAAAATGATAAATATATCCAATTATGAACCTTGTCTCAGTTTAAAATTTCTTGTACAAATTCATTCATAAATCTTTTTTGTCTGACTTTATTTTGTGTTATGCACTCTTTCTTTCCTACTTTTTTCATCATTATTTAAAGAGTCAAAAAACTTTTTTTTTTGGAGACTTTTTCTTGCTTTGGAATATTTTGCTAAACCATCTTCTATATAATTATCGTGTGTTTTAGAACTCTTACACTTCATAAATTATGTTCAATTAACTTATTGTTTTTTTTTTGTGTAATTTTCCTGACAACTATTTTAGAAAGAAGTGTCTTACTTTTATGGTATATCCTAAAACTTTTATAAGTTACAGGGAGTTTGGTATTTAAAGCCTCTCCAAAAATTAATTATTTTTCTTTTAACAGGTGTCATATTTTGTTAACGTAACAATTTCTTTACTTTGCTTTTTGGCATTGATTGTATATTAACCTTTGAAAATATTTCAGCTTTCATTTTGTAAAATTTTTACTTAGTTGAAATGTTCCTGTACATATCTACCTGATATTTATTTGATTATGAATAGGCTTTATTTCCTGCTTCAATTTTACTATATTTTTCTAAGTTTTTTTCCTATTTCTGATCTAGCTGTACTGTTATAAGTTTATGGTATATTTAATTCATTTATAGTTTGTATTTCTAAAGTATTTGCTAGTTTTTTTACTATTTCTAATCGAGCTGTACTGTTATGAGTTGATGGTATATTTAATTTGTTTATAGTATGTATTTCTAAAGTATTTACTATTTCTGATCTGGCATTAGTGTTTTAAGTTGATGGTATATTTAATTTGTTTATAGTTTGTATTGGTCTCAAGAAGATAAATACCCGGACAATCTCTGTAGACTACAGAAGAAAGGACTGGTGCAGTCTTCTTGAGAAAGCCAGGGTCCAACCAGGACTGTCGAGATACTGATGATAGTTTGTATTTCTAAAGTATTTGCTAGTTTTTTACTATTTCTGATCTAGCTGTACTGTTATAAGTTGATGGTTTATTAAATTCATTTATAGTTTGTATTTCTAAAGTATTTGCTAGTTTTTTACTATTTCTGATCTAGGTGTACTGTTATAAGTTAATGGTTTATTTAATTCATTTATAGCTTGTACTTCTAAAGTATTTACTAATTTTTTTATACTATTTCTGATCTAGCTGTACTGTTATAAGTTGATGGTATATTTAATTCATTATAGTATGTATTTCTAAAGTATTTCCTAGTTATTTTACTATTTCTGATCAAGCTGTTCAGTTATAAGTTAATGTTATAGTTAATTCATTTATAATTCGTATTTCTAAAGTATTTGCTAGTTTTTTTACTATTTCTGATCTGGCATTGCTGTTTTAAGTTGATGATATATTAAATTCATTTATAGTTTGTATTTCTAAAGTATTTGCTACTTTTTTTCCTATTTCTGAACTAGCTGTACTCTTATATGTTGATGGAATATTTAATTCATTTATAGTTTGTATTTCTAAAGTATTTGCTAGTTTTTTTACTATTTCTAATATAGCTGTACTGTTATAAGTTGATGGTATATTTAATTTGTTTATAGTATGTATTTCTAAAGTATTTGCTAGTTTTTTTCTTCCTATTTCTGATCGAGCTGTACTGTTCTAAGTTGATGGTATATTTAATTCATTTATAGTTTGTATTTCTAAAGTATTTTCTAGTTTTTTTCCTATTTCTGATCTTGTTGTGCTGTAATGTAAATAAAACATAAAAATAGTATAAATTGTCCTAAATTTTATTATCATAAATTTTAGTTTATTATTCTTTACATAGCCATATATAAGCATATATATGAGTCATATATAAGCAATATATGTATCCACACTACAACTTATAGATTATAACAATATTGATTCTGCTTCGAAAAATTCATTTCCCTCTTCTTTCAAATAGTCCACACATATTCTTAAAATGATTTGAGAATTGAGCTTCAGATATTTTTTTTTGTTATTTTTTATTTTTTTAGTTATTTTTTAGTTATTTAGTTATATTTTTTTCCATTAGTTGCTTTGAAAAATATCATGATGAGACAACAGATATTTTTAATCAGAATTTAACCGTCGGTAAAAACAAGAATAAGTTGCTATTCCTTTATGACTTTTTTTTCTGGCCGATCCCTTGAGCTATGTTTTATGTGGAAATGAAGATTTTCCGGTAGAATCTGTCCTGATAACGTGAAGGAAAAAAAATAATAAAAAGGTGTCATTGTTACTTTAGAAATTTACTCAAAAGGTAGTTTTTCTATCATCTATTTGTAATTAGCTTCCATCTAAAAGATTTTATACTAGTATCCGTTAGAGAAGGAAAGAAAAAAAAAGTACATTTTGCATAGTTTCTTTTTTATTCGAAATTTTGTAATTAGGACTCAACAAAAGTAATTATGTTACGAAACAATTTTTAATATAATATTTTTAATATAATATTTTTAATCAGACGGTCCCATTAAATGAAATTTGAATAATCATTAATAAATTGTTTATTACAAATTAAATACATTTGTTAAATTTGAATGAGAGTACCAACATTTATTCTGTTTCTTGTAGCACTGCTCTAAAATGATTCTGCAGTTTTATATCAGAATATATGTTTCTACCAGGGTTGGGATTTTGAATGCCCCAAACTGGGTTTTATAGGACACGTGAGTTTTATCGTCTAAAACTGTCTTAAAGTGTCCAAAACCTTGAACATTAGTAAAAGATAAAAATTCTATATGTGTAACATTTGTACACATAATAATTACATATATTAATAAATATTTGATACTTTTTATACAACTAGCTTTAACTTATTAAAGGAAAAAAATATTATAGGAAAATATTTATAACTTTTGAAGATCTGTAATTTATTGAATTACAAAATTGAATACACTATTCTTTAACTTTAAATAAATATGCTTTTAATACTACTAAATTATGTTTTTGCACAAGGATAAATAATGCAATATTAAAAATAATAAACTTTTTTAACAAAATGAAAACTTGTCTTCATTTTATTCCTTTCCAAAAGTTGGGCATGTAAGCCTGTGTCATTAATGTTTAGAAGCTGCTTGTGCCTGTTAAGGAGAAAATTCTCACACATATGCGATTTACAAACAGTGAGAATGCCCCATGAGCTGCTGACCCTATAACAAATGGATGAAGAACTTTATTGGCATTGGACATTTAATCGTTATCGTGTAGCAAGTTTCAAATCGAAACTTGGTTGTTATTTTAAAAAATTTTTTTTGACAGAGCAGGACATCTAATTTATAATGGAAACCTCGAGTTAGTCAACGGAAAGCGTAAACCCTCTTAATCGCCTCCATCAAATTGAATTGCCTCGTGGTCTACGTCTGTGACATTCTTTAGTTTTCGATGTTAGAGAGGTTGTTTGAAGTCAGTTTGTTTCGAAACAGATTTGTATTTATCTTCCAGTCAAATCTTTGATTTAGAATTGCTGCTGTATTCTACTTTCTCTCTATTAGTGTAATTGTTTAATGAAATTATTTATTTTATGAGTGTGCTGTAATTGATAGAATTGAAAGAACTTTACTTAATTAGTTATACAGAGCGGAAGCGTTTCATAAAAGTGAAAAATGCTTTTGTGCCAAATATAAAACTTAATTTAGTCGTCAGGTTTAATAAGTTTTAAAAAATCATCCTCGTTGAATTCGAAAACTTGCCGAAAAAAAGTAAGTATCGTCTTTCTTTCGGCACATCTTTGAATATGTAAAATATTTGAATATTAGGAAGATAGTGCATCTCTAACTACATCTGTTTGGTGAATATAATCAAGGGATGGCAAGTTTCTTTCACAGAAGAAAAAACCGCCCTGGAAGAAATAAGTTTCTTCCAACAACGGTTGAAAAAATAGAAGAAACTCTTTTTTTTTTTTCTGACCAAAAGAAATATAAAAAATTAATGCTATTTCTCATGGTGTGTAGTATTTTAAAAAAATATTTAAAGGTGATTATTTTCGTTATTTCAAAGCCCTTAAAGGTGCTTTTGAAAAATACTCAATTATCCTTTTTTGAAAATGAGATTTTTTTTTTTGCAGTGTTGATTTTCGCCATGTATTATCCAAAAGCTTGCCTTTCACATTGTTCTATTCAATGTTTTCACAATTCATTCAACCACAATCCATTTCGACCAACCGTCGGTTTTATAACGTATGAAAGCGGCAGTCATTATACATGTTTGATGAAATACTTGCGAGTCTGCATTTGCGTCAACTGAGCTGGGTTCAGTGAGATTCTTACACTCTCACTTGCAACTCTGCTGCATTTTACAAGATATTCTCCATTACAAGTTTCATTTTCCACCCTCTGAAATGGAACCAAAAAAATCTCTTATCTTTTTATGGTGGTTAATATAATCAAGAAAAGAGTTCTTTGTCAGAAACTAGTTTTATCATAATCATGTAAAGTCTTGGAAAGTATTTAAAAGGTGCTTATTTTTGTTGAAAGATTTGGCATACACACAAGATATACAATAGATGACTGATGTGTCTATTAATAAATTGGTTTTTATTGTAAGTTGTTTCATATTTTTTGTTTTTGTGGAAAATATTGCTTCTGCTCATAATTAAATATTTGTTTATACTATTATATGAATCTACATCTTGAACCTCTGTCTGGGAAGAATTGTTTTTTTTTTTTTAATTTATCTATAAAATGTAATATTTGAATTTTTTTTTTTATGGAGACTTTGTATCATATATGTTGAATAAGAAAAAACAAGTAATATTGGCACATATAGCAAGAATTTTGTTTAAGTCTGGGAGATTTGTTTCTGAAAATACCTTGCTATTAACATGCCGCTTTATTCTGAATCTTGAAGTATTGAAATAAAAACTAAGTATATTACAATTAATATAATGAAATTGCCAATTTTAATAAAAGTGTCATACTTTATTTTTGTTGACATTTTACAGAATGAGTCCGGGAGATTTGTTTCGTTCCTCTGAATATTTTTTTTTTAATATATTTAAATGTATTTATGATTTTTTATGTGCTTCGTTTTTTTTGTAGAAATCTATTTGTGTGCAAGTCCAACATTATAATTTGAATTATATTCAACTGTCAAATTATCTGAAGAAATGAAGAAAAAAAACATTCCAATTATTAAAACAAAATTAAATATTTACATTTCTAGAATATGAAAACTAAACATTCACTCTACAATGCAAAATAAAACTTTATTAAATCAAAATACTCTTTGATGTAATGAAGTCTTACAAATATTTTTTATTTACGGCGGTATATCCTTCCTTCAAAAATCTCATTTACAACTTTCCTCTCAATTAATTTGCTTCATTTTTTTCACAGAAATATCGAAATTTCTTATTGGTTATGTATTATTGCAAAGTCAATGTGCAATAAAAATCTTTATTTCAATGCAGTATTCAAATGCAATAAAAGAAAAATTTTGGGTTAAAAGAAATTGAAAAACTCCTAAGTCAGTCTCTCAGAAAAACTTATTTTTAATGATAATATCCAGAGATTTCGTTAGAAACTACCCTACATTTGACTGTCTGTTTGATTCCTGCTGTGCATTGAGGGCGTGAAAAGCCCTCAAAGTTAAGGTCGGGAAGCTGCTCGATACTGTGCTTCCGAATGTAAAGAGTTAAATAATGAAATTGTTCTTATTTTTCATTATAGATTTGTTTTATTTAAATTAATTGAAATGTTTAAGATGTAGTTGGTTATGTTTATTTTACATGACTTACTTTTACTTTATAGCTAATAATGGATGCAAATATTTAAGTCTTGACCTAAATTTTGAGCAATACAAATTATTTTATCTATTTTCATGAGAATTATACTAAATGCAGAGGCTGTCCATTATTTAACAATTTTATCCTGTACTCCCCTCCCCCCCAATTACCCTTATCCTCATGTCACGTTATGTGATACAAACATATACTATAAATTCAAGAACAAAATTCATGTCATTGTACATATTTTGAATTTTGTTTTTAAATTTCAATTGCGTTCCTGAATGGCATAATAACAATAATGATTGGATGTGAATTTACTTTCATAAAAATATTTGATCTGGTGATTTTAAATATTTTAACCAAAATGTGGACATTTCTCATGTCTTACAATTACATGAACCTCACTCCCACTTTTTCAAATGAAACCTCAAAGGTTAGCTTTGTTTTTCGTATATAAAATTATTTTACATTTTATGGATGCGAAATTGTTAGATTTTGGAAATTTTTTGTTTACACTATATTTGAATAAATATGTTAATAGTTATGTTTATATCATTGTCATTTATAAACTTTATGTTTTCATTTTACAGGGGTGGTCTAAATCAGAGACCTTTCCAACCTAGAAAATAATTTGGATGCCTCGAATGCCGACAGTGCTATGGGTAAGTACTAATACTTGTGGAGAATAATTTTTAGTATTTTTATTTCCATTTCTTGTAATCTTTTTTCAATTCCTTCTATTAGTTCACACTCTACCTATATCTTAAAATTTTCAATCATTCATAAAATACTTTATATTATCCATTCAAATTCAAATACATTTTTGTTTAAACTTGTTATGGATCACACTTGATGTTAATACAGTTTTTTTTTTTTCAAATATTAATTCATTCGTTAAATAAATAGGGATGATCGAAAAACGAAATGGAATTTTCTGATTTATTAAGCGTTTGTCACTGCTTCAAATTTTACAATAAGCGATTCAGTTTTTCACCTATTTTAAAAATAACATCATTGATAATTTCTTACTTATAGCTCTATTTGAACAAAAAAAAATACTTTATTGCTCACATTTAAATATCTAACTATTTTATATTTGCTATGTCAGATAAATTCAATAAAGAACATGACCTGGTAGCATGTGTGGTCCAGGTCACCAATTTTATAGTTGTCTGATACCACAGGCCTTTTTTTCAGCAAACCGGAAAAATCAGTTATCCGGAATAGCGATGGTCCCTATCGTTCCGGATAATCGGTTCTCTACTGTACATTTTTTTAAACTTGCACTGGCATTTGATGCTATTACAGGTTTTCTTATTTGTGTGCTTAATTTTTGTAAGAAAAGTTATGGCTGCCATATTTTTTAATCATTAATAAAGCGATTTATAATCTTGTATTTCGAGCCATTGAAATACTCCAGAATTTTTAATGGACCGATTGATGGGTAAAAAAATAGTTGAATGACTTTTGATAAGACCCTAAATGTCGGGGATGAAATTTTTTCGCTTTTGTCTCTCGAATTTCAGCCTTTTTTTTTTTTTAAATCAAAAACTCTGATTCTCTAAAAGTTTAAGTTTTTTAAAAATAAATATTCCGCTTTTTCTGAAAATTCAGCCGTTGAAATAAAATAATTATATTTATTTAAGATTTTCAAAGATAAACAGAAAATTCAAACTACGTAGCTGCCACCCTTCCGCATATTTTCCTATTTGAGCTATTTTCTTTTCTTTTTCGCGCAGAAAATAAGATTTTCCACATTCTTACCTGCCCTCGGGATAGCTCATATTTTCGTAATTCAGACGTCGCTGCTTCTCTTCTCGATTCTTATTCACATGATTTTAATGTCAAACATCCATTATCATACTAACCTGATTTAAAAGTTGTGCGTTGCGATTCTTATTCACGAGATTTAAATATTGCACATTGCGATTCTTATTTGCAAGTTTGAAAATCCAATATCGTGATTTGTATTTACACGTTTTCAAAATCCTACATAGCGATTCGTATTCACTCGAATTTAAAATCCAATAACTTGATTCGTTCATGCGGTTGTACTATCAAGCATCGATTTTCGTATTTAGATATGATCTAAAAATTAGACATTGGGATTCACATTCATTGGATTTCAAAATTATGCATCGTGATTCGTATTTAAGCGATCTGAAAATCACATATCATGATTTGTATTTTTGCATTTTTGAAATCCAATATCGAGTTTCATATTCATGTGATTTGAAATCAAATATTACAATACTTATTCACACGATTTTAAAATTGTGCATATGATTCCTATTCAGACAATTTTAAAATTAATCATTGGCATTTGTAATCACATGGTTTTAAGGTTTAAAAATCACACTTTTTGTCAAAATTTTTATTTCATAGTTTCTGCATATATATATATATATATACANATATATATATATTTGTTCCTGGATATCCTATTTTTGCTCTCTGACTACTCTCATCCCTGAAATATGCTGTTCACTTTGAAAAGTATGCAAAAAAAAAAATTGAAAGTTACCATCAACTTACCCAGTTTTAAACTCCCAATAAATAGTCACTAGCTTCACACTAGGGAAAAAGAAAATTTCTTGAATATAGGGAAGATTTATATAGTGTTATGTACATTGTTACTTTTGACCACATCAAGAAAATTGTTCTCTCATTTATCACAAGATATATTTGAAAACAGAAATTGATAATTGCTAATTAAAAATACTTATATTTTACTTAATAAATAGCATTTAACTTGTAACAAATGATGTTTTATTTTCCCTGGTAATAACTTTTAATTTGTCATTTATTTTGTTATTCTTGTGACCACAGAAAAATATATTTTAGTAACTGTTTTCTGCAAAAGATTTTATTTACAATTTTGTTATCGTTTGGTTCTTTTTGTATTGAAAATACGTTTTTCTTATTTACTTTAAACATGGTATGTAGCGTTTTTAAAACCTGCTTAAAGGTGCTTATTTTCGTTTTTCAAATGGTTTTTTTTTTTAGTGGGTGTTTTTAAAAAGTGTTTAATATTCCCCTTTTAAAAATAAGAATTTTATTCTTTACCGTGTTGACTTCCGCCCTGTATTATGCGAAAGCGTGCTTTTCACATTGTTCTATTCAATGTTCTCACAATTCATTAAACTGCTGACCATTTCGGCTGCCGTCGGTCCAGTTTGAAAGCACCAATCATTTTAAATGTTTGATGAAATACTTGCAGTTCCGCATGTGTGTATACTGAGCTGCGTTCGGTGAGATTGTTACACTCTCATGAGCAATTATGCTGCATTTTGCAAGATATTCTCAATTTCAAGCTTCATTTTCCAATCTCTGATATCGAACCGAAAAATTTCTTAATCATTTTACAATGGCTAATATAATCAAGAAAAGAGTTCGTCAGAAACTAGTTATTTTATCATGTAAAATTCTTTGAAAATAATTTTGCATTTTGTTTGTGTATATGAAGCTTAAAAATATTTCTTCGAGAGGTTAAAAAGTACTTAAAATGTGCTGGTTTTTTGTTAAAAGATTTGACTATGCACCTTGTTTAATATAGAAACCTTGTTTCTACTCATGAACTGTAAGCAATGTTGTGCAGATGAGGTTAGGCAACAGCATGGCTCAAGGTTATCTAGAAAATTCTTTACAAAATAATACCTGAAAACGTGTATCTACTTACACATTTCTGTTTATTTCACAATTTTAAATACAGTAAACTCTTGTTACTACTATATCCAATAGAATGATAATATTGTGTGGTCCTGACAAACTTACATATGAATTAATGACATGCTCCTCCCAATATTCTCTGAAGCAACAAACTCCTGTAAAATGATTTTTTTCTCCAAATTTCAACCTTATTTTCCCCATTTATTTATTTTCCCATTGTTTTCAAATAAAGTTAAAAATCTTATTTTATCCTCCTTTACCATTTTTTCCCCATCTTTTCTGACCAGAGAAGACTCACTGCTGACCACCCCAAGGGGTTCCATTCCTAGAATTCCCTCCCTTATCTCTTAATAAGTAACAGACGTAACATTCCTATCTGATTTGATATTCCTTCATGTTAAAAGCTGATCATGAGTCACGAATGACCACACATTAACACCTGAAAGAGAACATTTTCTCTGTAGAGGGTGGGGTGGAGGACCTTACACAAATGAAAATCATTTTCGTACTTTGGACTCAATGCATTCTTTGTTGGTTGACTTGACAGTAAAAAAAAATGAATAAACAAACAAAAATGTCGGATTATTTTCAATAAATTGGTTTTCAGCTGTGTCTACGATCTTAGTTTCTGAAATTATTTCAATTGTTTGTAATATTTAACCATAATGAACACTCTGCAAATAAATTTTTGGCATAATTTATGAATACATTTATAGTTAATATCTATATGTATAACATTAAAATTTAAAAAAAAAATCTTATTCTGTCTCCAAAGTATGTAGGCCCTCGTTATATAATAATATATCCCTCTACAACTCTATATTTATTAGATCCCCAAAATATTGCAGCAAGGTTTTACTGTAGTAAAAGAAATTGCATAACTGAACTTCATGGAAACTCAAACTATAAAGGTCTGAAAGTATGTCAGATATTAACATGTTCTAACAATAGTATTTATTTAAATATGTTGTAAAATTCTAATTTCAATAAACGCATGGAGCATATAAAAATCTATTCATTTCCTCCAATAAAAAGTAATAAATTTAAAAATGAGTGCTATTTCTATTATGATGATTTCTTAACTTCTATTTTTTGGATATACTAATATATGCTCCATTAAATTTTAGTTTCTTCAAAAAATTTTAACCTTATGGTGCTGTTACTTGGTGAATGACAAATGTTTTGTATTATTGCAATAAAATAAATAATAAAACCTCACTGACCCATGTAAACACATGGATGCTCTGCTTTCTGTAAAATATTTTATTTAATGGTAGAGAATGAATACTAAATCATGTAGCTAATACCTTAAAAGCTTTACCACAAAATAAAGAAAAATTCTTTTAACTTACAAAACCGAAAATAATACACATTAAACCATACATTTAGCTGCCACTTATTTGTTGAACAATATTCAGATAATGTGTTATCTTAATTTTTATTTTTATATTTTAAAAACTGAACTCATTTTCTTTTCAGTATTCTGATGGGAAAAAGTAAATATTGGTTGTTGAATCAGCTATTTTTGAAACATGTGATCCAACAGCAGGTCTTTTTTTAATTGTGTATCCGTGGAATATACAGGGTATTTATAAATTCTCGGACCCATTTTGATGTTTAATAACTCATAAAATAATGAAGACATAAACAAACTTATGGCATTTATTGATGGAATATATCATATTTGTGGGATTTAGTGCAGCAAAGTAAATAACGATGATAATTTACTCCTATGCTGCACTAACTCCCACATATATTTTACTTTTCAGGTTTGAATATCTTTACTTTTGTAAATATCGTCTGCAACAGATATAGTAGGAAGAATAGAAGATGATGCTGATTTTCTGAAGCGCATAATGTTCTCCGACAGAGCATCCTTTCATGTTTCTGGCATTGTTAATCACTATAATGTGCGCATATGGGGATCTGAAAACTCCCATGAATACCGTGAGACACAAAGGGATTCCCCAAAGGTTAATGCATGGTGTGGACTAATGCACGACCGAGTCATTGGGCCTTTCTTTTTTACAGAAAAGACGGTCTCATCAGTCGTATACTTAGACATGTTGGAAAACTTCGTATTTCCACAATTAGAATAGCTTCAGCCACATGTCTTTTTACAACAAGATGGTGCACCATCCCATTGGGCTATCATCGTTCGTAGTTCTTTGAATGACCATTTTCCAGGAAGATGGATTGGAAGAGGAGGTCCAATTCCTTGACCACCCAGATCACCTGATATAACGCCGCTGAACTTTTTTCTTTGGGGATTTGTAAAGGACAATGTTTACAGGAGGATTGTGTCGAACATTGATGACCTAAAAGCCAGAATTACAACAGCAATAGCCTCTGTGGATGCCGACATGCTTGCCGCTACCTGGCGTGAAATTGACTATCGACTTGATATTCTCAGTGCGATGAAGGGAACACACGTGGACGTTCATTGACGAGGGTCATGAAACTCTTTGAGTCTACCTAACCATTTATGTTATTAATTTTAATCTATCTTTATTATTTTATGAGTTATTAGACATCAAAATGGGTCCGGGACTTCATAAACACCCTGTATTATATTGATTATCAACTTAAAAATGTTTCTTTTCTGTGTTTTTTTTCCTGCTTTGTGAAATGCAGCTAGGGTATTCAGAAGAGTTGCATTAAATGTAACAAGAGAATGAAAACAACCCTTTGGGATGCAAGTCAGAGTTCCGACTGTACTTAGAAAACCTTGAAAGTCCTTGAATTTTGCATAGGGTACTTGAAAAGTACTTGATTTTTTTTTTTGGAATTAAAATAATACTATTATTTCTTACAAAAAAGCAGTAAAAAAATAATAAATAAATTCAAATGAAAATTATAGAAATTCTGGCTGATGCAATTTTTAATGCTTGAAGTGAAAAGAGGTTAAAGAAGATACAAAATTTTTCTCTTCTAGATTTTTCGCTCCAGATTATTGTTCATCTCTGATGTTTAGAAAGTTGAAATTTCTAGCATATTTTAGTTTTTGTAGACGTAGTTTCTGAATGATAACTAGTGTTTCATCGATTTAGAAATATGTTCAATGTGTTAACTTCATAATATTGTTATCCTAATTGTTTTTTTAATTTTTATAAGAAGTGATCATTAATTTGTTATCATATAAAATCAGATTTTTATATTTAGTTTTTACTGCTTATAAATAAAATTTAGTTCTAGATTTCATGTATTATGAATAAAAATCATGATTCACATTAAACTGATTCTTGATTTATGGATCCGAATTCACGTAAAATGTTCTACGAATTGGGATTCAAATGAAAGTAATGAATGAATCGTATATCAAATGTTGCTTTAAAGTGATTTCCAAATCTCTCATCAGGATTTGTATTAAGGTATTTTATAAATTACGCATCATGATTCACATTAAAATGAGTTATCAAACACACATCATGACTTCAATTGAAGTTATTCCTGAATCATGTAACGTGATGCATATTTAAGTAATTTCAGAATCTTGCATCATAATTCTCATTCAAGTAGTTTATATGGTATGAGAAGGATTTAAGACTTGCGCATCACGATTCGCATAAAAGAAATTTAAAAATTAACGCTTGCAATTCTCATCAAAATGATTTATGAATCACGCATTGTTGTTCTAAATTAAGCAACTTTCGAGTCACATATTACAATTTCTCTCATAATGATATTCACATAAAAATTATTAGCTAATCATGCAACAGAATTCACATAATTGTGATTTACGTCTTGATAGTTCCTGCTTTTTATAACATTTGCTATTCATATTGTTCCAATTTAAGAAACATACACCGCAATTTGATTTCAATTTGCAAATCGCAAATTGTGATGCGTAATTTTCTCAATCTTCGAGACTTACTTCACCTTTCTTATAATTTTGATTTACATTATAGTATATCTAGATTTGTATAAATGTGATTTTTAAAACTTATGCATAGTAAAAATTTCGCATGTTCATAAAATTTTAAAAATCCCGCTTTGCATTTTATGGATCTAAAATAAAGCTTCGTAAGTCTTGGTTATCTGTAAAATATTGTTTTACTATAGATTTTATTGTGTTCAACTGATATTCGGAAGTAACAAAATCGATAATTTGTTATTAAAATTGAAGCAGATGTGTTAAATGGATATATTTTGATATTTATCTAATTATATTCATTTCTTGTAACCTAAAATTTGGATTTAACATATTAAAAAAAAGTATTTATATTTTAATAAACGTGCAATTACGTAAACTTTATCTATGCTTGTTTAATGTAATATTATTTTTCATCAATTCTAATGTACTTCATCAAATTTTTCATGAAAAGTTTCACTGATGCTAGTTTTTAAATGTTCGCAGGTGTCAATTGGAGTTTTTTTAGTCAATTGGAATTTTTCAAAGTGATTTGAAGCAGAAATATAACTATAAACCATTTGCATTAGTGGCTGATAAATTAAATTATTAGTAATATTATTATTTTGTCAAATAAGCATTGTGCTTTGAAAATATACAATTTCTGCTTTGACCTAATTATAAAATCTGGTTGACATGTACTTTAGTATATTAATTGTAATACTGAATGAGTCCTTGAATTATTTGATTTTATGTCCTGAAAAGTCCTTGACTTTTTTTTAGAAAATTAAGTGGGAACCCTGAAAGTGATACTAAAAGACAACCTAACTATCAAAAGATTTCTATCACTAATCATCACATAACGGTGTTCAAAAGGACACCTCTGATCCAAGCGTCATTGTTCAGTCTACAACGACATAAAAACGATGACTGGAAGCGTTCGAATATGCCAAGTGTACTTTTGATGCCTGCTATGGCTATAACCTCAGTTGTCGCATAAACTGGAGGTTTAAGGTAACCCCATAGGAAAAGTCTCCATCCAGGGCAAATTTACTATCGTTTAGCGGTACCTTCACAAATTCAACTTTAGGAGAAATGGTAGTTTCACAAAATGCTTTTTAAAAAAAATTCTGAGATTCTTCTCCTCCTCTCTTAATTTTGTTTTTGTATCCCCGTATGAAACGACAAATCCCGGGTTAATTCAACATATACGAATAGGTAGCACGTGCTTGGTCAGATAGTGCGGTGTGGTAGCCTAGACTGTCGGTTAAGCCATATTATAGCGATATTTTTTTCAGCACGAGGTTCCCTCTGTAAACTTTACAAGCAGTTGAAATTCAAGCATTGTGCTAAACATTCAAACTTTGTTCTAAATTTATTCTAACAGACCTTTATTTTTTTATAAAAATTTTTTTTTCTCTGTGAAACTTCTTTCTATATGACTCATATTGAAAATAACTTATAGTGCAAGTACTGCCTGTTTTTTTTAAAATTCAAGTTGAAATTCAACAATGTACAATGATTTTTATGGATTTTTAAATTTAGATACAATTTTAAGCCCAAAATTTTACAATAGCAAAATTACTTTTGAACGTATGAGGAATTATTTTTGAACATATGGAGAAAGGTGATTTTTATTTGTAGTGACATTTTTGAAAATATCTTCTTATTTTACCATATTTTTGTGTTGATATTTTAATAAAATTTTTAATTTTCACAAATTATTACTACATTTTCACGAAATAGGTACCTCGTAGAAATCTAGACAGACCCCTGTACTGCTGTGCAATAGAAAGACAAAAAAATTTAGAATGGAGATTTTTATGTATTTGGCATTTTTGTATCATAAGCTACACTGTGCAAAATATATTTTTTTTAAAAATAAATTTTGTTTCATTTATTTTTAAAATTCTACTTATAATATTTGAATATTTGGGTTACAAACTACTAGATTTTAATGTCGCTTGCTTTGGAAATTTGTAGAAAATTAGATGCGACTAGGGTGGTTAGAATTAACAAAAAGTATGCCTTTGCCAAAATTAAATTTTTTAAAAGTATAATATAAATGCAAAAAAAGAAAAAAATCTTTTGTTATTTTTTTAATTGCCGCCAGTTAGTGAAAAAATGACATTTTAAAAGTTTTTTTTTTTTGGTTTTAACTATAGCTACACGGATACTTAATTGTTCATTTTTATTCTTATTTGTTTCAGATTATACAGTATAAGCACGAGGACGGGACGGTTGGGATCGAACCCACGCCCGTCTGTCACTGCTCTGCTATCTTATTTTTACACGTTAATTTATAATTATTTTAGGCTAGAAAAAAAAAATTATGTTATTGAAAGGCGATGACCACCAGGAAAATATTATTTAACTTATGCAGTAAACTCCCGACTATTCCCGCTTCACTTTTTTTTTTGCGATGATAAACAACATAGCATTTAGAATTAAAAAAAAAAAAAACATTAAGATGGAACGAGTTTTGAGAACAACATTCTATCTAACATCCATGTTTCAGGAGTGATTATGTATTCCCGGAATTCCGGGGTTTTCATATTATCCTTCTAGGTTTAGGGAGAAGGCGTAGGTCCTACATTCCGCGCATTTGAAGACTATTGATTCACGAACTTCCGCGAATCAAAACTAATGAAACAAATGAAGTCGAAATTCGAGGAAATTTTCACTGAGTTCTGCAATCTAAAATTAAATGTTGAAACTTCCGCTAAGTCACGTGAACGAGACGTGTTTATGAATGTCATTCTTCCTCCCATTTTATTCTTTTAGTATCTCGGAATGTTCACTGTTTTTAATTTTTGAAACCACACGCTGGAATCGGCTCCTATCGTGATTCATATTCACACAATTTCTATATAATAGTCTATATGGATTTTCGCATTGACGTGATTTAAAAGTGGATGTGAATCGTATTCACACAATTTAAAAATCATTCACAGTGGTTTGCCTGTGCGTCATTTAAAAATCAAATATCGCAATGTGTATGCACGCATTTTTAAACAGCAGATAATATAAAAGGGGGTGCAATCCTCGAACAAATTACAAATATTCTGTTTTACATACACTTTCATCTGTTAATTTTTTTCACAATACATTTCTTCATTGTTAACAAGATATTTAAAAAAAAGTACGAATTGCTTGTACTTTCAAATTTTGCCACGAGAAACTGAATTGATGGCGCTGGCATAGCTATTGACTTTGAAACACAAATAACTACTAACAGTAGTTTCGCATACTAACGTGTTTGTGCACGCTTAACCTTGGTACTTATTGTGTTGATGAAGTTTGTGTTATACACCTTTGTTAAACTAAATAACTAATAGAAAATATAATATTTATATTTTATTCAATGAAATTTAAAAAT